TTTTCATTTAAAGGATTTGCCACTGATGATTCAAACGCAAGTTTGGGGCAGTGTAGAGTAGTACTTGCTGTTTGTCATTTGTCCGATCGTAAATGCAGACATGGTTTTATGTTTACACGGCACGTCATTATAGTATAAGTCATTATAATCCGTAATTATGTCCCCACTGGATGCAACAAATGCCTCATTTATAATGGGTTTTAATGTTTTTGTCTTGTCGCTCCGGCCGGGACACGCCATCACAGTATGGTAGGGGCGTAACATTTCCGTCACAAGCTTGAGGTATTCGGCCAATCACAACGCACTGGATAGCTGGCCAATCAGAGCGCACCTCGCTTTTCAGACCGATGAGCTTTGTAAAGATCGACGCATTTCAGAAAGGCGGGGCATAGAGGAGAAACAATAATGTACAGTATGTGGAAAATAATGTGTTTTTTGAACCTTAAACTGCATAAACACATTTCATTACACCAAATACACAAAATAATGTTCTTTTTAGCAACATCATATGACCCCTTTAACTAAAAAATGAAAAATCTGTCTTTACTCATCACCATGATGTACTTACAAAGCCATATGACTGACTTTCCACTGTGAAACACAAAATATATTCTGAAGAATGCTCACTCTACTCTTTTTTTATAGGCAAAGCATACCATAAAAGTAGTACATAATACGTGTGAGCTACATTATACGTTTTCTGAAGTCATACAATAGCTTTATGTGAGAAATAGACTCAAATTTTAAAAGAACACTTTTAAAAGAACACGTTACAAACTAAAGGTACATAAATGCTTTTTTTTTTTGCTTTAAACTGACCTATGTTGTGGTAGGACTGAAACCATACCCAGCGGAGCAATGGCTGATGGGATATGTGGAGCTCCTCCTGTTGGTGTGTGTAGGTTAGAGGTAGTCATAAATCGGTTGTTAGTGGCTCAGTGCTTGAGTTTCTTCTGGAGGCCCATGAGTTTGAAGGTGGCGGCAGTGATCTTCTCATACACCACGAACATGAGGGCGGCCGTCAGCACAGTCTGGAGCAGCTTCGCCTCTAGACCTTTATACAAACCCAAGAGCCCATGTCTCCTATCACACACAGGACACAAGCTCCATCAAAACAATTCAGCCATGTTTGATGGATAGAAACTAGAACGACACTGCAGACATCAGACATGGCCAGAAGCCAATAAATGGAAGATATGAAAATACTATACTATTTTGTTGGGGGGAAAACATCAAAAAATAAAATCAGTCATTTTAAATGCTAGCCATTCTACATTACTATTATACAAATTAAACAACTTAAATCTTGAGATTTTCATTTTCAGATCAGATAAAAATTTGACAGGATAATTACATGTATGTTTGTAAAGATTAACTGAGCACTAGATGATGACAAAAGACATCTAAACTTGAAAACAGGCCTATTATTTTAATAAAGTGCAGTCACAGTTGCTGTAGTCATAGACTATACATATTCAATATCACTCACTATTAATCAATGAATAATACTGGTTGATAACATGATAACAGAGATATTTTAGTAGATACTGTTGAGATACTGGTATAGCTATTAAAGGGGTCATCGGATGCCAAATTCACTTTTAGATGTTGTTTGAACTGAAATGTGTGTTGGCAGTGTGTGTACACAACCACCCTAAAATGATACAAATCCACCCAGTGCTTTTTTTTTTTTTATCAGTCCGCCATTGTT